TCTTAATAGTCATAAGGAGGTACGTTATATATATATATATATAGGGTGTCTTGAAAGAAAATATGCCAAAAAAAAAAATATTTTCCTCAAAGAGAAGCCTTTAATTCAAAAATTGAGCAATTTCTCATCGATTTCAAGGCTTTTCCCTATCAGTGGGACGGATATTCAGGTTACAACACCATCTTTGTACTTGGGTCCACAAACTGATAAAATTCCTCTTTGACAGATATGCTTAGGATCAAGTGTTTACGGTAGGAAAAGACAAGACGAACGAAGTGAGTGAGTTTGGTAGTCAACCTGATTGTTGCCTGCTTCTACAGGGTTTGGTCATTTAGTTTCTTTTTGATAAGTCATGTTTTTACATTATTTTCTAGTACGCTACTGTCTTATCTGTATTAATACTATAATTTACGCCTTCTGAAAGCTTATTTGTGTATCGGTTCCAAGTGACCCAAATAAGTCATAGATGGGCAAGTACCTGCGCGACCGCTCGCCAGCTTCCTTCGTCAGACCTGTATGTCTGTATTGGCATTGTAATATTTGAAGTTAACATCAAAGAAGGTGTCGTAAACTGCACTTTTATTAAGGAATTCTTAAAAAACAAAAGTATTTTCTTCTGGGAGTCTCCTCGCTATGGAAGTCAACATGGAAAAGGAGAGTTAGTAGGATAGTAGGACATCTAATGAGACATAAAAAGGGTTAGTTAGAGATTTAGAAATCAAAAGTATTACAAACTGGTGCAGGGGCAGATGAAAAAATAGATTGGATTAATGTTCGCAAATAGTACATAGAGAGGTGGAATGCTCTAGTTTTCTGACTGAAAATAGGAAGGAGTAGAAGTGCTTTTCTAATCATATTAAACCCCCTTGTGACGATGACATGGATCATGTTGATGATATAAAATAGCTTTAAAAACACTACAAAAAATTTTACAAATGACAGTTTCAATAGTTGATTTTGGAATTAAATTATAAGGGTGGAATAAAACCGAAACGTGGCGTTATTTCGTTCTACAGGGAATAGTCCTTGATCAGTATTTTGCTGGAAATTATGGTCAGGAGGTACACAGGTGGTTATAAAATAAACAAAGAAATCTAAATTTATACTTATTAGTAAGTACCAATGCTTTAGGGACTTTTTCGTTATAAGAGTTTCGTTTCGCAAATATTACCTAATATTAAAGAGGTATTTACAATTTATCCTCCTAGCTCGTTGCTTCGTAAGCGAAAATAATAAAAATTACAATTTGGACCCGAATTTGTAAAAATAAAAGCCAGCAGAAATAAATGTACTAGGTATTTTAGTTAATATTACAAATTTAATTCTAATAATTAAGGAACTTGAAATAATTTTTAAAGAAACATGTCAGAATTGAGGTTATTACAAGTTACCTAATAAATTCTACTAACAGGTCAATTGAAAAGTCCCGGCCTAATATAGTAAAACACATTTTTTTTGCAAAATTCGTTTTTTTTATTCAACATAATTCCCTTCAAGGGTGATACACTGATTATAGCGATCCTCCAACTTTTCGATACCATTNTCTCGGCGATCGTCTTTTCCTTTAAATACTCTTTTGTTTACTTTCGGAAACCTTCTGGAAACGTCCGGATACTTTATTTTTTCTTTGAACTGAACTGTATAACTGTTTTCCCAGAACGCAGGTACAACACACACATTTACAAATACGGCGCACATGAAGAAAGGCGCCCGCGGCTAGTCGGCGAATCGATAAGCCGCTCACACACACGTATGCCCGATCGCACACAAACACGCTCGTGCTCGCTACAATATTCAACAGCAGTTAACGTTTTAGTAATAAAAACTTTATATCTATGATTAAATTATATACTTAAACACTAGGTTTTCAAAAATCAACGAAAGGAGGTTTATTACAATGTTATTATTTTTGTTTGCCAAATAATAAGTTAACAAAAATTAAGTCATCATAGAGAGAAAGCAGTCGGTAAACCTGCTCAAAACGTTAAGTTAAGATTAGCTTATTTCTTTTTTGAAAATATATTCGTAGACGCAATTTATCAGTCGGTAAACTGATGCTAATTTATGGGGATGTATTTTTATTACCCAGACGAGAAGCGACGGTAAAGCTTAATCGTGAAGCAGAATACACGTGAAGAAGTTGTTCCGGTGTGGTGTCATGTTATCAAACTGAGTTTTTGGCGTGTTGATGATGTTCACATTTTATACTCGAGGGCTTTAT